TTATATTTAATTATTGTATAAAAAGAAATTATATAATATTTATTCTTAGTAGGTATTAAGAGTATCAAGGTATAATAGGTATTAATGACAAAGAGTTATATAATAAAAATTTGCTAAAAGAGTAGTACTTAAATGTTCTCACCAAAAAGAGATAAATATGCAAAATAATAGTTATATTAAATAACCCAATGGGGAAATCCTTTCACAATGTACATGTTCATTAAACTATCATGCTTGCTTTAAAATGACCTACAATTTTATTTCTCAATTATGCCTCAATAAGTGGGAAAATATATTAGGGGGGTATAAAAGAACTATATATTTTTGCAACTTTATGATCTAATGTTATTTCCAAAAACATGCTAAAACACATTTAAATATGACTATTTAAAACTTTATTATGAAGGAACCTTTGTCCCAATGGATTTGTTAATTGATATGTCATTGTAAAATAGTGCTACTTATGTTAAGCCTATTTTGGTAGGCCATCACACAGGTTAATAAAAAGTCAATTCTAAGGTATAAAAATATCTATCTTAATCACCACCATTAGTTTTCAAATCCACTAAAACAGTATGATATCACAGACATACACTTACTAATACTGATAACTAATGACAACAAATATTTTGTGTGACCAGAATAGTTATTAAATATAATTTTTAACATTACTAAATAATAAGCTTAAACAAATAACTACATTGTGATCAACTTTTTAAAGAAAGACAGGAATAAAAAGGAAAAGACACCAAGAACATACTCCAGTATGTGCTCCTCACCATGCTAGGCCCCCACTGCTTTAGGAAACACCCGAGGGAAAAAAGCTCTACACAAAGCCCCTTGCAATTGAACAGTATGTGTCCACCACAGTATTTGTTTCTATGATACAAATTAGCTCCTAGACAATTGGTAAATGTAGAAAGGATTTCTGTATACAACAGAAGTTACATTGGATTCGTATGTGATTCTTTCCAGATCATTAATGTTTTACTTCATTAACAACAGCAACTGCAGACTTAATACACGAACAGCAATAAGCCAGGAAAGAATCTGTATCATACATTTCAACCCTCCCCTTAAAAGATATCACTGCAAGTTTAGCCCTGACCTTTGCTTAAAAAGAATTAGTAATATATAAATAAAGCAAAGAAACACAAAATGGGGAGCACACATCTACATCAGAACATTTTGTGTAGTCTGAAATTTCTGTACTTAGGATGTCCCTCTTGCCCTTGTACAGACACACCCTTCCAAACACTGCCTTCCATCAGCCTACCTTTAAGTCAAATTCTGTATTTACTGCAGTGTTTGTTTCATTAGAAATTTCAAGTATCTTAAAGTATAAACATTTTTATTGAAACTGTTACTGTTTTCTTTAGAGTTCTAGTTACAAGGTTACATAAGTCCTACTAATTTATTATGAATTTGTAAACCACAAAGATTTCCATAAACACATGTACAACGTAGTAAAATGTTTAATTTTCACACACTGAATACAGAAAATGCTTTTCTAGGCATTACTTAAGTATCAATGAAATATGCTATTATTATCAATTTGTAAACAAAATCACAAACTACATTTTACATTCAGCCTTAAAGTCAAAATTTAGACATACATTTCTGTATTAGTCATGTTTCTTAAATAGATAATATAGTCCAATGTAGTAATGACCGTTATCATTTAAGTTAAAACAAGACTGATACATCTTGTAAGAAAAGTAAATACTTATTGTTTTTGACATGAACAAATTGCGTATTACAAACATGGATATTTTCAAATGAAGCAGGGTATAAGATATATAAAGTATGAGACCTGTAACTAGAAAGCATTTCTGCTCATAAAACTAAAAAGATTCTTCAGTATACTTTACAGTATTAATCACACTTGAGAAGAATCTACAAATGCGATGGTATTTATTTCTCAAAAAAGCAACAATTATTTCTTAATGATTATTTCTTATTAAATTATATAATACCAGTCATTCAGCATTTTTTTATTTAAATGACTCCTGCAAGTGACAAGCATTAGAAAAGAAAATTTGTGCTGTTCGTACAATGACAGGCATAGAAAATAGTTAATTCATTAAAAACAAAGTTCAGCAGAAATAGTTGTAACTTATGATATCAGCCCCAGTTTAAAATACTTTAAAATTAATTTAAATAGTAAATATTAATCACTTTAATATTTTTATAATAGTGTTCTCTTTTCCACCAGTCCATGACACTTACATGGACTCAATCCTTAATTTCAAGGAAACTTTTTCCCAATTATCTATGCAATTCATTTGCTTAGAGATAGTCAGCATGTTCCTCAGGGGGAAAAAAAAAAAAAACACTGCACAATTGTCTGCAAATAGTATGACCTCTTTCACTTGGGTGGGTATCCTCTCCATCACCGACTAAGTGAGGATGTAACCTTGTCAAACCAAAGGCAAAAGAATAATGTGCACACGACAGGCTAACCCAGCATGGGAAAGGTTGTTAAGAAGGTTGCAAAAACAGTATTCTGAATGATAAAATAAAAGTATACTCCAAAGAGTAGGTTTACATTTTTAAAAACACTCAAGAACATAAGAAGCATTTAATTCCCCTCCCTAAATATCTACCATGCAAAACTCCATTCAACCATATTTATTCCATTACTTACTAGTCCTATTTGGATCAGTTGTTTTTACATGATTCCTACTGGAAAAGTCTTGAGAGACACACTTATAAAATATCTATTTTCAAGAAGTACTGACCAAAGGGAAGCATCTACCAAACAATTATAAATTATCATTAAACAAAAAATAATTATTCCCAAAAAAAGAGTCTGAAATTAAAACTGAAAGTCTTCACAAAACAGTAGGATTTTACTATGGTTTAAACAAATGACAGTAACTGCGACATTAATTGCCACTCCAATGCACCAACTGGCATAATAAGGAATTATTTTAAACAGCTTTATATGTAGCTGAAACCAGAAGAAATTAGACAAGTTTTGTTAGTCTTCTCAGTGTGAATTTACTTTGAAAACAAACAAAAATTTCAAATCTAAACACAATTCAAGCATGTACGAGGACTATGTATTGTCAGTTATGCACACTTTGACATTCCTTTTCTACCTTAAAGCTGGAATAAAATTTTGGTTTCTAAGCAGTCATAATATTTTAACAGAGAAACAGTGCCACCTTTTGGTCCCAAACAAAAGCCTCCATTTGACTTGTTTTCTAAACTTCTCTTTTTTCAGTTAAATTTCTGATATATATATTTGTATGTATGTGTGTATGTGTAATATATGTGTGTGTCACTGAATTTCATAATTATAAGAATATTTTGTGACTACAGAAACTAAGCATGAAAGTAACATAAAAATTTGATTACAAGATGTAAAATTTTAAATTAATTCAAAATAATACCAAAATCTTATACTGTGAGTCATGAATATAATTTCTAATCAACATTTTACTAAGTACATTTTACCAGATCCAAGAATGTCAATGAACTTTTAAATCTAAAAGAAAAATTCTTTTTATAGCATTTTCAATACCAAATTTTTAAATGTGTGCTATTTTAAACATACCCACTAATTTAATAAGTAAAAGCATAGCATAAACAGTGGATTGGCTGCTAATTCAGCATAAGTGTGAATAACTTTACAAAATTTACAATTATAGTATATATCTGATTACTTACACCAATGATACAATGTCACCTCGTTGTACTTCAAAATTCCTCACTTTCCAGTGGTTCAAAAGCACCACATCAGATGACTGGCTCCCCCCAGGATTCAAAGAAGGCTAAAAAATTGAAAGACACATCTATCATTTGTATTTTTCAATCTTCATGGTTCTTTGCACTTCATAGCTCTATGCAGTGCAATAAAACATTTCTAATATAGTAACTTTCAATAAATTGCTGTTCTAAAGTAACTGCAAATGATGAGTTTTCAAAAAGGCTCATTGGGATTCTTCACAGGTGAACCAGAGAAAAAAATAAATTACCAATACTCATTTGAAAGGAACATGTGCTAGACATTCAAATCTTTACTAAACTCCAGTAAAAAGGTATGGAAAGCTTTAAGAAGGATTAAAAATACAATGGAAGAAGTGAATCAAACCTCCCAAAAGAATATTTGGACAGGATTTAATACCACTATTATACAGAACACCTCACTGTTCTTCTGAGGAAAAGAAAAAAAATCAACCCAAAAAACACTTTTGTGAAGTAAGGGAGACAGAAGAAACAAGTGAATGGGGGGATTTCTCACTGGACCACTCTTTTCAAGAGAGCATGCAGCAAGGGTCCTGGTCCCAGTTTAAACCTAACAGGGCTGAGACCCAGACTAGTCTAGAGGTGTCCAAAGAATGATAGGGCAAGATTCAAGATACTGGAGTTCGGGAACACTCCAGGCACAAAAACCTGATTGCAGAACCATGAAGCCAATGTTCCTGTACTTGGACTGGGATACAGACAGAGCCTAGGGATAACAAGTCTGAGGCCCAAAGTGGGACTGGTAACGCAAAACAATAAGAAAACTTAGGAGCGCTTTCTCACCACTTTCTTCTTCAGAGTTGCTGACACTGTAATTGGGAAAAACAGCACTTCTCTAGGAAGGTGCCAAACTACAACTAAGGACAACTACCCGGACAAACAGGAGCAGTAAATGGAGTCATAACCACAAAGGGGGGTTGGGGTCAGAGGTGAGGAACCTGGATGTCAGACAACCACCCATCCTTGGAGCAATAGAGATGTACTCCTTTTGAAGATTCCTGGAATGATTTGTATAATTTCTACAAAGCAGATGTGGGGCAGAGCTGTAGAAATTCTGTATGGAGGCTATTATGATCCCTTTATTTTTCATTCCTCAGGTTTTTGGACCCCCAAAATATCATTTATCCATGGAGCTCTCCAGCACTTCCACAATTCTTTTATGTGATGATCCCTAAACACCCTACTCAAAATTTTATTTGACTATTAACATGAAGTCAACCTGGTTAAGTGGAATTTATTACTTCCTACCAAAATAGCTTTTTTCCTTAATTTCTTATATAGTGTTTACATTTTCCTAGTCAACCAGATGAAAGTCTTAGCTATTTCTTTACTTCATATGACACTATTATAACATAACTTTTGTTTACCTGTTTCCACAACTAAGCAGAAAACACTTTTATTAATTATTATAGCCCCTAGTCAAATATATAATCCAACCCCCACTGTTTTTTCAAAAATTCTAAGTGGTTGCTAAACATCTCATCTGATCAAGCCATTCCCCTGCTTAAAATCCCTCATTAGCTTCCTATATGATATCTTCAATATAAAAATCAAATCTCACATGATCTACAGGTCACTATGACTCCCCGGTGTTACAATTTCTATGAATTAAACACAACCACAAGCAAAAAGCCCTATATAGAGATTATTTACTCACACTTTGAAAGCATCTTATAAGCAAGTATTTATGCCTGAAATGTTTCCCTTTCTTTCCACCTTCTGCCATCTGGTTAACTCATACTTCAAAACAAGTCTTGAGCCCTGTGGGGCTGTCTCACAGAAATTCTTTCCTACCACTCCTCATCTCTTTCTCCCTATTTTTACCCTCTTTCTCATGATGTGATCAAAATTCCCAAGTTCCCCATCATATTCTCTGATTATTTCTATGACAGAATTTTTAAATATGTTATAATTATTCACTTGCCTCTCTCTCCAAAAGTTTACAAATATTTGGAGACTATACTATTTCTATGTGTGTGTTTTTAACACCTATAAGATGAATAACAACTTTTAGTGTAAAAACTAAAAAAACTAATGAAATTCTCCAAAACTGACAGAATTAAAAAGTCCAGATTCCAGTTACACTTCTATATTCCTCTTCTTGTTTACTAGTAGTATCATTCACTCCACAGTAGAAAATGATTGTGCCATCTTCAATTTCTAACTCTCTCTGAGTCTCCCATGATCAGACATTCCTCCTTCCCAGAAATTTCCATTACCTATCAAGTATAACTCAGAGGGTGAGTTCTCTGTGAAACCTTCAGAAAATCAAAACAAACAAACAAATACAACTACCTTGCATAAATAATGAGTATAAATCTAGGGATAGAAGAATCTCCATAGACTCAACTCCTGACACTTGGAGCCATGTTTTCCTTACAAAATAACTCATCTACCAACGTTCTAATGTTAATTATTACAACAAAATAACAATGTCTTATAAGCAAAAGATCTATGAAGGGGGGAAAAATTCCAAAAGGAATCATTTCTACTTAGAAACAGTAAAATATTCTAGTCAACACCTGGAAGGCCTTGTTTGATCTTATAAAGGAACAACAGTGCTTTCTTTTACCTTTCCTCTCCTCCATACAGTTAAATCAATCATTCCCCTAGTGAGCTCCATTAGCAAGTAATGAAACTTCCAATGACAGCTCTTAAAAAGTGTATTACACGTATCTTTCTACATATACCACTCTCTCACTCAACTGGAACCTTCTCAGTTGTAGAAACCGCATCATATCCATTTTTGTGTGCCCAGAACAGTAACTAGAGTATTTCTATACATTAAAGTTTTAAAAATTCAAGTATTTCAAAAAGCACATATAAATAAAAGAGTTTCTAAGCAATGCACATTACCTAAACAATCTCTATCTCTTTCAATGAAATCATGTTTTAGACAGAGGAAGAAATTTATGTGTCAGATCAACTTAGGCAATTTAAGCAGTACAATAAAGTAGAACAGTTCTTTCTTATTACCCATAATGAAATAATGCTAATCACAACAGAATAAAACATTTTTTCACTGTTCATTTGTATGAATTAAAAGTTATCATAAAGAAAAACTTTCTGAAACTGAAAAACTGTTCTATCTATACCACTATAAAAACCATAGTTGTCTATACGTCAATTTAAAAATTTATTAAAAAGGAAGAACACTTACTTCCTGAGTTTTCTATAGCAATTTTCAAAAAGAAAAATAATGTACTGACTTCAAAATGAAAAAAAAATATGAAAAATAAAGAAATCTCATTTGAATGAACATTTTAGAAAAATTGGTAAGTCATGCTATAACTTAGAAATCTTACATCTTGCTTTCCCTTGTGGGACAGGCAGTTTATGCTTCATCAGATGAACAGGCAAATGTTCCAAATCAAAGAAACTATACACATGAAATCTAAATGAAAAGTCATAAACTTTGGAAACCTGATATAACCAGAGAATCTATATTATCTGTCATATTGTCAATACTTTAAATTCTAGATTTCCAGAGACTATATCAAAATTATAAGCAATATAAATTTACCTTTTTTTTTTTTAATTTTAAGTACAATACTTCAGAGGAGCTTTAGGATTTTCCACTGTATCTCAAAATGTGACTGTGTCACATGTCCTTGAAATTAGTTAAGATATCCAGTGGTAAGAGGGAAAACATCTAACCGTAGAGATTAATGCCAAAGAACAAAACAAGCTTAACAGCTGCTCTGTCCAGCTTTTCCTCAAGAACTTGCGTCCTCATAGTATATTATTCTCCTTCTTTCAATGACCCCTGAGGTTGAAAATCAAACCACTACAACACGTCTTTCATTTACTTGCTTTGTTCTAAAGACAGAAAACTATTCAAACTTTGGCCCTGTTTTGGTTTTTTTTGTTTTTTTTTTTTTTATTCGTACAGAGAGCTGGGGTACAGGCCAGAGATGCGGAGGGTGAGAGGATTCACCAGAGACAGAGTGGGGTACAGAACAGGCAGACCGACAAAGTACACTGCTAAGGGGAGCAGCGGGCGGGTCAGGAGAGGTCTGCCTTGCCATGTGGATCTCCTCTGGGGCAGGCGGGGATCAAACCCATGCAGAAGTGGCTTAAGCTTCTTTGTGCTGTGCTTTAACCTGCTGCACCACCAGGGAGGGCCTGGCCCTGTTTCCTACTAGCCAGATCACTTTAAAAAATTATTTAACCTTTCTAAACCTCATTTCCATAACTACAGTAAAATGGGGAATGTACTTACTACCTACCTCATAAAGTTGCTATGAGAATTACATGAGAGGATCCACTAAGTGTTCTTAATTAACACAGTACATGCTACACTGTAAACAGTCAACAAATAAGATGACAGTGATGACAACAACAGCAGAACAAAGAGAAATAAATGGAGAACAGTAAGTCCGCTTAGCATAATAGAGAGGATCCCTGAAAATGCAACTTAAAACAAAATCACTACAAAGAAAACAGGTCTTCCAGGAACTTGATTTCCTTCAAAGTGGGAAAGTCTTTTATAATGAAAGTTCAAGTACCTGTTGTATACTGTTTGTTACACAAGAAGTTTTCTCCTTTTAAATACTGACCTGGAAATCTTCCGGCTGAGTAGCCTACCCTTCATTTCTAAATTATCAAGGGCAGTTCATTTCTTTTAAATAAGTAAAGCCAGCTTTTATTTCTATTTCAATTGTCCTCCCTCGAGGCATTAATTCCCCCAAAATGCACTGGGCCAACTGTTTATATTTTCTATACTGACAGATTTCTATAAAACTACCTTCCATATTTATGTAATGTTCTATAAAAACATTACACTCGTGTTTTAAACTTTCATTTTTAAAATATACACACAAATGTACACATGTAAAAAAAAGATTTGTATCCAAAATTTAATAGCTTGCAACCCTGGCTGATGAGACTGTGATTACCCTTTTCTTTCCTTTTTGTAAATATATTTTAAGTTATTGTATAGAGACGAGGTACTATACAGTTCACTCTAGGAAAAGATATAAAAATCAGCAGATTTCAACAGATGTTACTGTATTATACTAAAGCT